TTATGTTATGTTATGTTGTTATATTATATGTTATGTTGTTATGTTATGTTATTATGTTATATTATATTTTATGTTATGTTGTTATATTATATGTTATGTTGTTATGTTATGTTATTATGTTATATTATATTATATGTTATGTTGTTATATTATATGTTATGTTATGTTATGTTATGTTATATTATGTTATGTTGTTATATTATATGTTATGTTGTTATGTTATGTTATTATGTTATATTATATTATATGTTATGTTGTTATATTATATGTTATGTTATGTTGTTATGTTATGTTATATTATATTATGTTATGTTGTTATATTATATGTTATGTTATGTTGTTATGTTATGTTATGTTATATTATGTTATGTTATGTTGTTATATTATATGTTATGCTATGTTGTTATGTTATGTTATATTATATTATGTTATGTTGTTATATGTTATGTTATGTTATTATGTTATGTTATGTTGTTATATTATATTAGCGAAGTTAAATGATGGTAGTCCACAAAATCTACACAATCTTTCTGGACAAGGTACGTGCAAAACTAAATATTTAAACTTTAAGCCTAATATTTAAATATAAATGTAGATATTAACTGTTGATATTAGAAAAACAAATATGTAACAGCAGCGACTTTACATTTAAACTGCTTCAGCTACGATCATAGACTTATACACTGTAGGCAGTCTACCAGAATACATGGAGTATTTTATTTGTTAGACGATGTATGCATATTTTACGTTCTTTACTGTCTGAAATAAACATGAAACAGTAGAGGCTTTACATTTGTCGGGTGTTTCGCTAGTAACTCAACGTGCTTATTTGCGTCATCACGCAACGCGCTGACGCAACTCCGCTACGCGCGAAATTTTGAGCTTAACGTTCGGTTCCAAACAAGGGACGGTTCCCGCTTCACACACACAGTGATAACCGACTGGTTCGTTCAGAATGGCGGAGTTGGGCTGCTACTCTCCCAGCTTTAAAAAACCGTCTGAAGTTCTGCGGATGAGACGGAAGCGCGCGCGGAGCGAAGGCCCGGACCGGAGGACGGTGGACGGGCTTCGTCCGTTCTCTCCGGGGCCGCTGCTGAACGCACCGAGCCGAGCGAGCGGCGGCGGGAAGCGCAGAAATCCGTTCGCCAACATCGAGAACACGTACAGCCGTCCCAAGAAGAGAGCGTTATCCCACAACGACGGATACGACGGAGCTCTGGACGGTAGAAAGACGGCAGCTGCGGTTCTGGACGGGAAGCTCGGGGAAGAACGCGCGAACGCTGCAGCATCATTTAGAGAGGAGCTGTTCAACACTGAGCAACAGCACGAGATAAAGGTGAGAGAACGGTACATTACAGTCAACTATACACCGCGTGTGTGTGTGTGTGTGTGTGTGTGAGAGAGAGTGTGTGTGTCTGTGTCTGTGTCTGTCTGTGTGTGTGTGTGTGTGTGTGTGTGAGAGAGAGTGTGTGTGTCTGTGTCTGTGTCTGTCTGTGTGTGTGTGTGTGTGTGTGTGTGAGAGAGAGTGTGTGTGTCTGTGTCTGTGTCTGTCTGTGTGTGTGTGTGTGTGTGTGTGTGAGAGAGAGTGTGTGTGTCTGTGTCTGTGTCTGTCTGTGTGTGTGTGTGTGTGTGTGTGTGAGAGAGAGTGTGTGTGTCTGTGTCTGTGTCTGTCTGTGTGTGTGTGTGTGTGTGTGTGTGAGAGAGAGTGTGTGTGTCTGTGTCTGTGTCTGTCTGTGTGTGTGTGTGTGTGTGTGTGTGAGAGAGAGTGTGTGTGTCTGTGTCTGTGTCTGTCTGTGTGTGTGTGTGTGTGTGTGTGTGAGAGAGAGTGTGTGTGTCTGTGTCTGTGTCTGTCTGTGTGTGTGTGTGTGTGTGTGTGTGAGAGAGAGTGTGTGTGTCTGTGTCTGTGTCTGTCTGTGTGTGTGTGTGTGTGTGTGTGTGAGAGAGAGTGTGTGTGTCTGTGTCTGTGTCTGTCTGTGTGTGTGTGTGTGTGTGTGTGTGAGAGAGAGTGTGTGTGTCTGTGTCTGTGTCTGTCTGTGTGTGTGTGTGTGTGTGTGTGTGAGAGAGAGTGTGTGTGTCTGTGTCTGTGTCTGTCTGTGTGTGTGTGTGTGTGTGTGTGTGGGCTGGCATATATGGTTTATGAGGACACAAATATGTGGCATGGGTACTACAACGTAAACATGGTTTATGAGGTCACTTCCTGTGTCCCCGTAAAACAAAAGGAGGACTGAAGAATTGTATGAAATTCACAAATTGCCATTAGTTTCCTGTAAGGGGTAGGTTTAGGTGTAGGGCAGTGAATCTCAACCTTTTGGTGTACCAATTCAGAACCGTCCTCAAGGACCCCCAGAACAAAATTGACTCATTTGTGTCTTTGTGAGGACCAAATGCAGTCAGGTATAATTCGAGTTAGCTGACTTGTCCAGTATTTGGCCATATCATCAGCTATATTGGATTTTTCTTTCATGGGAACATGTCATGTCAAAATATACAACATTTATACAAAAATTCATGCTTTATACGGACCCCCTGGCCTTATGTCAAGGACCACTAGGGGTCCAGGGACCCCTGGTTGAGAAACACTGGTGTAGGGCAATAGAAAATACAGTTAACTTTGTACAGTATTACAACCGTTACGCCTATGGAGAGTCCCCGTAAACCACAAATGCAAGTGTGTGTCTGTGTGTCTGTTTCTGTGTCTGTCTGTGTGTGTGTGTGTGTGTGTGTGAGAGAGAGTG